AGTTGCTACACATGGATCTCTTTGGACCATCAAGAATGAAACATTTTGGAGGTAATGTTTATGCATTAGTAATTGTTGATGACTTCTCTAGATATACATGGACGTTCTTCTTAGTGCAGAAAAGTGAAGCTTTCAAGGCATTCAAGAAGTACACAAAACAGATTCAGAATGAGAAGTCACTTTCAATTGTCTCCATTAGAAGTGACCATGGTGGAGAATTCTAGAATGCTCTATTTGAAGAATTATGCGAGGAAAATGTAATTTCTCACAATTTCTCTGCATCAAGAACTCCACAGCAAAATGGTGTCATAGAAAGAAAGAATCGGTCGTTAGTAGAACTTGCAAGAACAATGCTTGGTGATTCAAATCTTCCTAAATACTTCTGGGCAGATGCAGTAAGCACAACATGTTTTGTAAGTAATCGTGTCAACATCAGGCCAATTCTCAAGAAAACCCCTTATGAATTGTTCAAAGGAAGAAAACCAAACATAATCTTCTTCCACATATTCGGGTGTAAATGCTTTGTCTTAAACAATGACAAAGACAATCTCGTTAAGTTTGACGAGAAATCCGATGAAGGTATTTTTCTCGGCTATTCTCTCTCAAGTAAGGCTTTCAGAATTTTTAACAAAAGAAATTTAACTATTGAAGAATCTATGCATGTCTCTTTTGATGAATCTAACCCCTCCAAGGAGGATGATGTTATTGTTAATGATGATGATGATGATGTAGTAGAAACCTCTCAAGAAAACACTCTCAAAGATATTGCAAGTGATCAACCAAATCTGCAGCAAGAGGATTCACAAAAAAATGAAGTACACAGTGATCTACCAAAAGAATGGAGAACTCATAGAGAGCACCCGATCGATAAAGTCATTGGTGATATCAGTCAAGGTGTTTCAACAAGATTAAATCTCAAGGATGCTTGTCTTAACATGGCATTTGTTTCGCAAATAGAACCAGCCAAAATCGACGAAGCCTTAGGCGATGATCAATGGATTATAGCTATGCAAGAAGAACTGAACCAGTTTTAAAGAAATCAAGTTTGGAATCTTGTCCCTAGGCCTAGCAACAAGCATATCATTGGAACAAGATGGGTCTTCAAGAACAAACTCGATGAAAATGGTATTATAGTTCGTAAAAGCAAGATTGGTCACCCAAGGATACAACCAAGAAGAAGGAATCTACTTTGACGAAACCTTCGCTCCAGTTGCAAGACTAGAAGCAATTAGATTATTATTGGCTTATGCATGCTCCATGAATTTTCAGCTTTTCCAAAGGACGTGAAGAGCGCTTTCTTGAATGGATTCATAAATGAAGAAGTATATGTCAAGCAACCCCCTGGTTTTGAAGATTACAAATATCCATCTCATGTCTTCAAACTAAAGAAAGTTCTCTATGGATTGAAACAAGCACCAAGAGCATGGTACGATCGACTCAGCAATTTCTTATGTGACAAAGGCTTTGTAAAGGGAAAGGTAGACAAAACTTTATTCATTAAGAAAATAAAAGAAGATACTCTCTTGGTACAAGTATACGTTGACGACATAATCTTCGGTTCAACCAACACCAATCTATGCGAAGAATTCTCATCTATGATGCAAGGAGAATTCGAAATGTCTATGATGGGAAAAATGAACTACTTTCTTGGATTGCAGATTAAGCAACTTGAGAATGGGATTTTTATCAATCAATCGAAGTATTGCAAAGAATTATTGAAGAAGTTTGATATGGACAATTGCAACACTTTATCTACACCTATGGGATCTGGTACATATGTAGATCAAGATGAATCCGGTATATCGGTTGACATCACAAAATATAGAGGTATGATTGGTTCACTACTATACTTGACAGCAAGCCGCCCTGACATTATGTTTAGCGTCTGTCTTTGCGCTCGCTTTCAAGCAAATCCAAAGGAGTCTCACCTGATGGCAGTCAAGCGGATCATGAAGTATCTCAAAGGAACAACAAATGTCGGCTTATGGTATCCTAAAGGTAGTATATGCAATTTAATTGGATATTCTGGCGCGGATTATGCAGGCTGTAAAACTGATAAGAAGAGCACAAGTGGAACCTGTCACATCTTGGGAAATGCACTAGTCTCATGGGCATGCAAGAAACAAGCATGTGTAGCACTTAGTACGGGTGAAGCTGAGTACATAGCAGCAGGTAGTTGATGTGCGCAGATTCTGTGGCTCAAGCAACAACTTCGTGACTACGGACTCGACCTGAGCAGCATTCCTCTTCGCTGTGACAACACCAGTGCAATCAACATAATGAAAAATCCAGTCATGCACTCAAGGACCAAGCACATTGACATACGACATCACTTTCTACGAGCTCATGTACTTCAAGGAGATGTCGAGATAACATTCGTAGATACTCATAATCAGCTTGCCGATATCTTCACAATGCAATCGATAGCACTCTTAGAGCAATCGATTGCATGATCAAATTTTTAACTATTTTTGTTTCTGTTTTGAAGAGCAATCGATTGCTGCCTTTAGTGCAATCGATTGCATGCTTAAAAAATTCTCAGTTTTCAATTCTGTTTTGAACTGCAATCGATTGCTGCCTTTGTGCAATCGATTGCTCACTGAACGACTTTGAAAATTCATTCTGAAAAATTCCATCTCTTTATTCAAATGTTTGTTAACTGTTTCCTTTGAAACATAACAATTGTTCATCAATTTTTCTGAAGATTTGTATGATTTCATCAAGTAATTTTTATGTGATATAAATACCTAGCTTTTCAAAATTCAAACAACCAACTTTTACATCAATTCTTTACAATCTTTTTCAATCAAGATTCTTGAACTTTTTCTTTAAACAATTTTCACAAAGAATTTTCTGCATCAAATTTCATATCCTTTGAAAAGAAATTTTTTGAGCAATAAGTCTTAGATACTTGTGGAAATTCCATTGAAAGAGAAGATTCAATCTCAGCATTGATTACCAATTATACATTGTTACAAATCTTACAAACTCAGAATTGTATTTTATTTTCTCCTTGCTGTTCAGGATTGTTGAAAGCAAGTGTGTGCATTAGAGAGGATTGTTCTCATTGCACTTAGTGTTTAGATCTTAAAGGTGTTTTAAGAACCTTTGATCTCCTATAGGTTAGAGCAAATTGTACAATTGATCCTAACTATAGTGAAATCTCTTTCGTGTTGAAAGGGGAGTGGACTACCCTCGAGGTGTGAGGGGAACCACTATAACTCTCTGTGTCTCTTTTACTTTCTGCATTTACAAGCTTTCATATCTTCACTTCATTAAAAAGAAAGTAACATAGTCCTCTTAAAACCAGAAAATTTCAAAGAACTTAATTCAACCCCCCCCCCCCCCCCCCCTCTTAGGCGTATTACTACTCACAATATATATATATATATATATATATATATATATATATATATATATATATATATATATATATATATATATATATATATATATATATATATATATATATATATATATATATATATATATATATATATATATATATATATATATATATATATATATATATATATATATATATATATATATTGGTTCAAAATACGAAAGGAGGGGGGAGAATGCATTTTATTTACAAATATGTTTGGTTCACAAGGAGATGGAAGGTATTTTAAAACTAATTTACATTTTTATCCTTCTAATTTTATCATAAGACTCATGATATTTATCATTTATAATTTAAATACAAATTTATTGACGAAATTAAAGTATTGAATGAGAAGGCATCTTGAAAATTTTTATAAAAATTATAACGATTATAATATATAATTTTAAAAAATTACCAAATATAATAAAATCTAATAAAAAATATTATAAACAAAAATACTACAATAATTAAAAAGTAACAATAAAATATAATATATAAAATAAAAAGATTTAAACACATATAATAATAATAAGATGATGAATATAGAAAAAGTGTAAGAAATATAAAAGGAAGATAAAGTTTGTTCAAAATATAACATTTAACATTTTAATAAGTTAAATTTATATTTAAATAAATAATAAGGATAAATATGTAAATATAATTATAATTAAAGTGAAACGTCTCCCCTCCCCTCCAATTTCTTCCAAATCGGAGAAAGCAAAAAGTGAGTCAGGAGAGATTTTGGTCCCCTCCATCTACCTCTCCTCCCTCTCTTAAAATTTAAACCAATCACAAAAAATATTAAATATTTCCTCCTCTCCCCTCCATTTACCTCCAACCAAACACACCCTTAAACAAATTTATTTTTAAATTAAATTGAGAATCTTTCTTTGCTTACTCTTAAGACAACTAACCAACAAAGAATTATTTTTCACTAACTTAATCCAAACAAATGCGCTTTCAAAAAGGAATAGTTCTGATCCCTTAAATGTGAATCAGAAACAAGTTTAAAGCCTTCATTATTGTATGTGCAAACATATGTTTATTGCTCGAAGGTGATCTTACATCTTCCATAAAAATAATCAACAAAATTACGAACTACGGTGACTCTAATTTTTCTCATTACTCAATATTTTGGCACAAGGTTGCGAAACCAATACGATAGTATTTTAAAATTATTTAATCTTTTGATAAATTCATTAAGTCACTTTAAATTTCATAAATTTTTACAATATAATCTTTTGAAATTAAAATTATAAATCCTGATAGTATTTTAAAATACACAACTTTTTAGCAAAAATTATCTTTTAAAACATTTTTTAGCATCAAATTATAGTAATAGGATTCAGTTTCAATATAAAATATACAAGAATTGAACTAAAGAGTAGACTTGCAAAGAGGGTCCAATTGGCCAAAAGACTTTTCAGTTATGAAACTAAAAAGAAATCTTATAGCAGAAACAGAAACAGCATTGCACACTACCTCCTAGTACAAAAGAGTTTCAAGAGGTGAGTTTTAGTTAGAAAAACAACATATGGCCTAACTAAGTTAATTTGGTTCTCACACCATAATGATCCAAACACAGTAAACAGATATCACCCTAAATAGTTAACTAGCTATCTTGGTTCAATTCTTCAACCAAAGCAATAGGCAGTAGAATAAGACCTTTGCTTTCAAGTAGCTGACTTGTTGCTGCTGAATGTTCTTCAACTAGTTTCCCCATTATCTCTTCAAGTGGCTCATTCAGCATTTGATCCTTTATATAATGCCCATAACCCTGTAATAAATAAATCAATCAATCAAACTCTACTGTTAATGAATTTGAGAGTATATGCTATAAGAAGTTATTTGCTTGGACCTGAATTCAGAGTAGCATAATAATGTATTACTGATATCAAAGAAAGAAAGGTACCTCATGAAAAACTAATGGTATAGCATTTGAGTCACTTTGCAATTTACTTCCACTTAGTTCCTACAAAGAAACAATTTCCTTAGCTATTGTAGAATTTCAATTTGCAATTGATGATAAAATTAGGACTGAAAAAGTTACCTTGAGTTGATTCTGCAAGTATTTAACATAGTCAATGATGTCGTCCAATATGTAAGCTTGAGCTTGACTACCCTGCAAATTAAAACTCAGTTCATTATAAGTAAATATTGTGAAATTTAGTATGTGTAAAGATGCTTAAGTACTAGTATATTGAATTCATCAGAAAGAAGAACTTTTTGACATTGTTTCGACATATCTTAAATCATAAACAAGAGATTACCCCTTCTGGATTTGGAAGCAATTCATGTAAGGCTTTGAGGTTATCAGCGATACGTTGCCTGCGTTGCTATAATCAAAGAGCGCACGGTAAGAAAACTAAGTTGTGTGAAGGAATTGGAATAAGATTGTTAATTAGTTGACACGAACATAGAAAAGAAAAGTTTTACTTACACGGTCAGTGCAACGTGCTTTCTCACTTTTATGTTTTGTGGAGCTGCTTCCTGATTTCGGATTCGGAAGTAAAAAAGGCGAAACATCACCAACTATTCCCATTGGATCAAATCTTGAAGCATTGTGCTTATCTCCAACTGAATCACTTGGCCATGTTGCATCACCCTGTTACAAATTACAATAACACTTTATTTAAGTTTATCTCCTAACATAATCAGTTTCAGAGGGATTATAGAAAGAGCTTATGTCTAACATGTTCATAAACTATTTTGTTTCCAACTTATTACTATAAAAAACTTCAGGAAAACTCATTTTTGTAATAGAAATAGTAACACAAAAGCACTTATATAATAAGTGCTTATTTAATAAAAGCATAACTAACCTCAGCATTGAGAAGGTTTTGAGTAGTTTCAGTTTTAGCTTTAATTGCTTCTTCTTCTTCTCCATTGTTTCTCCAAAACCCAACATGCTGAAAACAAACATTCACAACAAGAAAAATTCAATTTCCAAATCTCACAAACTACTTATTAAAAGTAGTAGTTTTTTTTGTTAATTAACCTTTACCTTCCTACTACCATAGTCATTACTTGAAGAACCAATCGGTTTAAAACCAAAAGCTCTTCCTTGATCATTGAAGCTGTTTGTGCCACCAAGTGTTTGATAATTGTTCCCAACCAAATTATACTCAGCTGTTGGAAGATAAGTTGAAGATTCAGAGAGATATTCAACATAGTTACTATAAGGTAGTTTTGATAAACAATTCCACTGGGCCTCAATTTTTCCAAATTGTTGATTTTGAAGATGATGATCCTCCGAGACATCGTGGTCGTTTGTGTCTTGTTCATTTTCATATGACACTGGCTCTGAACTGTTGTCTTTTTTGCTGTTACTTTCTCCTTCCATTTTTCTTGAAAACTAAACTAAGTTAGTGAAAGGTTATGATTTTGTGATGAAAAAGTTGGAAGTGAAAATGAAGAGAAGAGAGAGAGTAAGTTAGAGAGAGAAATGGCGTTCTCTGTTTTTCTGTTGGAGGGCAGGCACGTACATGCAACGAGGCTGAGAACGTGGGTTGTTGTGCTGCGGAGATGTACTGGTTACGGTAGTGACATGAACTGTACGGTGGATTTTGGTGCATGCTTCAGTTAAAATGTCGATTATGCCCCTGGAAATGAATTTCAAATAAGATGAGTTGTAATTGTTGCTTAAGAGTGATGATAATGTTGAGGAAAATACTTTGAAGAGAAAAAAGATAAGGGAATGTTACATTGAAACCATTGTTGAAGACATAAACAAATTTGATCGGTGGTTAGAAGTTTGATATGGAACTCTTGCATATAAAGAAAATTGATTAGGAGAGATCCATTTTAGCTCCTCTCGTCTCAACTTTAGTCTATGGCTCGTACATGAATAACTTTAGTCACACAAATGACAATTTTGATGAAGTGATATTAGTTAGTACCACTCAAAATTATATAGGAGATACCACTTGTTATGTATCCTGCTATTTATTAATATTGTAATTATATGTTAAAAGTGATAAAATTATCACAATTTTTGTATTATTTTTAATTTTAATTGTTATTGTGAAAATCAATTTTTGGTGGCTGAAATACATCGTGTTATTGTCATTTCATATTATTTCCCTAAATCGCATACGAACATTAACATCATATTCATTTTACTCATTTCACCTAAAACTTCAACTTCGTGTTCGTCTGCCATTGTTGAACAAGCTGAAGTTATTCACCGTGTTTATTGTTAAATTTATAATTCTTTGTGTCGAAGTCGAAATTAATTTGTCACGAACAGAGTATGCATTTGTTATATTTGACAGAAAGTCAAATATAGTTTGTCAAAGCATGTAGTTGTCGAAGGAGTCGGTCGAGTCGAAATAGTGTAATTTAGTTTAATTTTAGTTGAGTTAGTTATTTTATGCTTACTTGGAGTGTGAGTAATCTCATCTATAAATAGATAGGAGCTCTATTTCTTTTGTAAGAAGATATAACTTTTAAAATAGCATTGTGTAGATTCTAAAATCACAGTTGTGATTAACACACATTATCAAACATTTAGAGTGCAGTTTGCACAACAACATTACAATTTTCTTCTTCCTTCAAAATAAGTTAGGTCTCTCCCAGAGGTATATACCTCTTATGCATCATAACATGGGGTATCTTTGCCAAATTTCTGTCAAAATATGTCGTCCTGACCTTGCATATTTCGGCTCTATAGTAGTTTTGGTCGACTTCTATATCCACTCACTTCCAAGAAGCAGATTATAATTGGCATTGATCATGATAACCATAAATAGTGTTGGTCTAAATGTCGAACAAATTGACAGGTCGACCTGGATCACACATAGTATATTACTAGTTTTTCCCTCATTGTTGGACAACACCATATTGTGTGGTCTGAGATCCTCATCAGTCTTCCCCATTTTCTTGAACACTGAATACAACATTAAATTGATTGTCGCACCTCCGTCAACAAATACTTTATTAATAACCTTGGAGCCCATCTTTGCCCTAATGAACAGCGACTTCAGGTGATACATCATGATGGGATCAAGTCTCTCAAAAACGGCTTGTTGTTCTTTAGTCACGCCATTATTCATGACGTAGAAGCAGAGAGGCTTTTGGTTGGTAGCCTCGTCTTGACAAAATCTTCCTCGACCTCAAAAACTTCTAATACCTGGTCGTATTCGGCTGGCAGTACTAACACTATTCCGCAATTAATCTGGAGGTCATCGTTTGACTCTCCGCTGAAGTTATTTTCGACCATCTCTTCATCTGACCCGGGTGTATATTCTGGCTCTTTCTCCACAGGTTAGTGAGTATAATACGGCACACAGGCATCTTCAGGATGAAGGGAACATTCAAGGTCCTCGTCTTCAGACTGCAGAGTGTAACGGGGTTCCTCAGGGGTTGTGTCCCTAACCCTAAGTGCCCTTTTGATTGTGGGGGCCTTCATTGTCGTCTTCAGAACTATATGCAGTTGTTCCTCTTTGTTGAACCTCTTAGAGTAGGGTTTCTCATCAGGCTTCGATACTGTTGCATTACGCTTCACCCCCGGGGTATCACGCTCATTCGTCAAGGCTTACCTTTCAACCTTCTTCTTTCTCTGATGACACCTCCATTGGGTACGCGTCATAGAATTCTTACTCTTGTAGCTCGGAGGGACATGTGATTTTCCCTTCGCCTCCTTCTAGGTCTTATTGCTTAGCATCCCAAGCTTAGGATTGGTCTCCTTTCACTTTGGATGATTCGCCCCATTTTGGTTAAAGGGCTTCACCCACTTATTATTGGGTGCGCTTGTAAGTGACCTAAAAGTTTTCTGTCGAGGCTACTGAAACTGCCTTCTGTACTCTTTGTTCTTACGAGGTATGCCCCCATTATTAAGAACGAACCTAGTTGTTCGACCTCCACCTCCTCCTCATTCGGGGTTAACCTTTTGAGAGCCTTCCAGTTTCTTTGCCGCTTATTTGTCAAACACAACATTGCAGCATGGGCACAACATGGTCTTAAAATCTTTGAGTTTGCAGCGCTTAAGGAAATCAATTAATCCTTTTTCAGACTAAGGATAGACCTCCTGCAAGTCGAAATCAACAATAATAGAGATTTGTTCTCCCTTGTCGACATCCATGTTGGAGCCATCAATAGCTTTCACCATTAAGATCTCTATAGGTTTAACATAGTGGGCCTCCTTTGTCTACATGGGGTCTATGTCCACTTTCATTTATGACTTTGGATTTTTGCGAAATTGAAATCTTCCATTATTCAAAGCTTTCTGAACCAAATCTCTGAAAAGCACACATTGAGAAGTTTTATGGCCCAAAAAGTTATGGTGCTTACAAAAACCTCTCTTCTTCCTTTATTCCAAAGGAGGAATTTTTAAACCAGAAGGTACTATAATTTGACCATCTTTGATTAACAAATCAAATATTTCATCGCATTTTGTAATGTCAAAGGCGTAAGCTCTAGTGGCAAACTTCTCATTTTTATTGGTCTCGACAGGATTTTTCTCGTTCAATGGTTTTAACAACTTACAAACATAAGGGGGTACTGGCTTCATTTCGGCCACATTAACCCCCCTTCCTCATAACCTTCATCACTTATGTCAGAGACATGGTCATCTGCCTCTATGTAGGGAACCTTTTCCTTTTTGTGATATTTACTTGTTCTGGCCTTTTCAACTTTTAGGCGTTCGACCTGGCGAACCCTGTCTCCCAGTTTTGTAATGTCCCTAAGGTATTGAGTATCTAACTTCTTTCTCATCGAGTAGTCTAGGCCACCAACGGCCACTTCGACCAACTCATGCTCAGGCACCTGGTGAAACACCTTGCCTTGAGAAGTCTGAACCTATTCAAATAGTCATCTATCGACTCAGGAACTTTTCGCCTAACACTCGCCAACTCTTTTAAACTAATTTTCTATTGTCCCATATAAAATTGTTCATGGAATAGCCTTTCTAACTAAATCCAAGATTGGACAGAATGTGGGAGAAGAGTTGTGAACCAAGTGGAGACATTCTTGGTAAGAGAATTCGGGAAATATTTCATCTTCAAATTCTCATTATTTGTCATGTCGTCAACCTCAGTTTGATATCGGGAGACATGTTCTATTGTCGACTCGCTGATGTCTTCAGCGAACTTGGTAAACTTTGGAACTTTCCACCGGCTTGGGTAACTCAGTCTGTCGAACATATTCTGACAAAGGAGATATAAAATTTGGTCAGTGGAGTCCTAAATCAAGGACGTTATGGGCCAAAATTTGTTTGACCACATTTTTTATATTATTTTGTCGTGAAAAATTGTTTTGCTGGACATACCTAAGCATTTGGTCTACACTCTGGTTCCTCTGAACCACTAGAGGCCTAATGTTGTTTTTCTCTATTTGTTCTATCTCTTCCCTGTTCATGGGGGGTTCAATATGGGCTGCCCTATTTTCAGGAGTTTCAACCATTCTAGCATTAGATGTTTGTAAGGTAGATCGAACATGTATTGGGGGTGTGCCGAAGAAATTAGCGATATGCCCCATTTGACTTGCCAATACTTCATACGTCTGATTTGTATTTGCAACCAACGAGTTAAAAATAGTTCCTATTTGTTGGGTGAGAGTGTTTACTAACTCTAAATTACTTTCATCCATCTGTTGCCTCATGGCCATCATGGAAGTTGTATTTAAAGATGACATGTTATGGGGAATGTAATTTATCCCTCTTGGTCGCACCATATTATTGATGGTCGACGCTGAGGCATTGTAAGGATTGCATAATGGCGTTGTGGCCATCACATTGTCACTAAAGGTTGACATATTTGGTTGGAGGTTAGCCATCATAGATGTTGGCATACCATAAGGGTAATCTCTGCCAAGGGTGGCATTGAGAACCTAAATAAATATCTCGTAATCGCAAGATTATTTAGAGTATTCCCTGACTACGGTTAGGGTGTAACCCCCTGCGATGGTATCGTTACGATTGGCGTCGTTGATACCACCAGAGAAATTGTCCTAACGTGTGTCGAGAGAACTAGCTCCTCAACTGTCGACACGACTGGTTATTACACTACATTTTGAGAATTGTTCTAGGGGTTAACAATATCTACAGAAGGACAAGACATTCTAGACAAAGCATTACCACTCCTTAATTACATACAAAATACCCTAAAAGACTCTTAAACAATAGAACAAGAAAAGAAAACAAGAAAATTTATACATAGATAGGAAACTTAGCACATGTCCCACTGAACGTGCCAATTTGTTTGCACTGAAAAATAATAAACAGTCGCTGATCTCCAAATTAATGGATACTTGCAGGATCAGCCAGTGAATCCTAAGATATAGTGCCAAATAACCACTTGTTTTTTTTATTTTCTTTTGTTTACGTGACTATTTTTTAACTATAGT